AGATGGTTATTAATTGCTAAATCTTTTTCAGAAACTTAATGGTATTTTACTTCAAGGATCATGACATGTTCTTTTTTTATGAGTTCTAATTTGTTTATATTAGTAAACTAGTAATCATTGGTGATTATTTCTTACTATCCAGAATGTGTTCAAAATACCCTATTGATGTTATATAGCTTTCATTGTATCTTTTGAGAATTTCAAATCTTTGGAATAAAAAATATCTCTAAATCCAAAATATTAATACAATATCATGTATCTTAAACTGATCAGTAAACTGATTTTTTTCAGTATTAATTATTCTTGACAATACTACCATTTATGTTGAAATACAAATTTTGAGGTCAGGTATAAAACAAAAGCTACCTACAATATATATGCCTTAAATACTGTAGAGGTGGTAAGATATCTTAATGGACTAATATTTGAACAATATAACACATCTTGGAATGCCATCGTCTTAGAGCACTAGCAAGTTTGAAATCTTTTCATGAAATGTACTTGAGTGGCATTAAACTATGCAGAAAACTGAAAACAAGTTGCATATGGGAGTAATATTTATTCATCCGTTATATTGTAAATATTATTTTTAGACAATCAGATATAAATACTTTAAAAGTCAACATCACTCTGGAGAACCTAAGGCACAGATACAAGTGATTTATTATGTTTTTAAAAAGCAACAAAAAGGGATATTAATTCTGGAAGATTTTTAATCAATTTAACACTATTATACATTAGAGAAAAAAATTTGTCCACAAACATTCCCTCACAAAGCCGGTAGTTTTGTATTTACATAATGTTATGATAGCAATTTTAAATGTTAATCTATGATACAATAATATTACTTCAGAAAACATAAAAAATATAGTTTTTTTAATAGCCATGCTCCCATTTTGATGAAAGCTAGTTAGTTCAACCTAATGTTTAACACTTTAAAAATGCATAACAGATATTCAGTCAGCTTTATAAAACCTTTAAGACAGAAGGCTGTCAAACGGAATAGACAGAGGGCTCATCATCACTTATGTCTGAATCTTCATCTACTCCTTCCATGACTGATTTTTTCCCTTTACAACAGGATACAATTAGTCCAATCAAGAATACCTGTAAATGTAAATAAGCTATGTGTTATTTCTCACATCTAAAATCATTTGGAAATAATGCTTTAAAATTCAATGGCAGTACTATGATACAAATGGACTACTAAAATACAAAGAATTTATACATTTAACTTTATAAAGGAAGGTCAAATCATGCCTGGGATATACGTACTTACCCCCAGAAAGGCCCAGTTACCAAAATAGTAAGCAGCACTAAAGAACCAGAACTTGTGAAGAAATAGGTATGTCCGGGTAACAGTACATTGATCTATAAAAGCAAAAAGGAACTATGGTGAGATAATTTATTTCTTAAAATTGAACATTAATACTTTATCTAAAAGGTTATTAACCAAGGCTAATGACCAAGATCATA